CTCTACGGTCTTGAATAATCATTGTTATTAACAAAATTTTCAATAACTATGTACGCAAATAAGATCATATGTGCTGGTCTGTTTTTTAATTTAGAACAAACAAATTGAGCACAATAAATCGATATTTTACAAATTGGCACACCGCACAACTAATGTGATGTTGTAATATTTGCAATATTTCGTTCGTGGCAGAAATATAGGGCGCCACTTCAGACTCCAACATAATGTTACTTTGAAATGCACTAATCATAAACACTGGCCATTTCGCATTTGCAAAGATACGATGAAAATAGAACATCAATTAAAATAAATAACACGCACACTACCTACACACGGATGCAATGACTCTCACCTTACGTTGAACTGATATTTCTAATCTATAACACTAAAGTACCAACACACTGCATTTATGATAGATTAAATTGAATTCGAAATTCAAAATACGCACTGTAAAATAGTTTTCCGTTAAAAAAGGCGGGTAAATATCCCGATGTGCTTATTACAACTGACTAAGTGGTAAGGTGTGAAACAATCTGAACTGTTAACGGTTTATTTTCGTAACCACATACCGCGCTTATTATTTCATTAACCACTCCTGATTTTACACCAAGAAGGTTACTATTTACGGTTGTGGTTAACGCCGATACTAGGAGTGACCGCGCAATGAAATATTACGGAGCGTAAGTATTGGTGTCTATTTATAGAGACAAATAGAGGAGGAAGAGATATTTTTAAATTTGGAATATTATAAGAAAAAAAAACTTCAAAATGAACTGGTTACGCATTAAAAATGTGATTTTTGAATATACAATAAATTAACTTTGCCTTCCTTATTGTTATATTTCTGAATAATAGCGCTGTGATTTTTGTTCAAAATTATCCTTCAGATCATCATTTCTTAACCTTCATGGACTGACGAACACTTAGAAAATAAATCAAGAACAATTTCAAGGACCTCCCTAATAAAAAACGTAGATATAAATTTCGGGCAATTTATTTTAGTACCGGATAGTAGTAATACGGATTCTGATGAAACTTTACAGTAATATAGCTTATACATCAGAATAACATACATACATTTCACCCGGGTGAAACCGTAGGCACGTATATAGGGGGAAGGGAATTGTCAGTACTATAGACTAGTAACCCTATTGCTAGCAATGTACCGTTTGGAGTTGATCTCCATGCGCTTCCCCATGGAAACCTAGTGATAAATTTCTGGTGAATTGGGCATACTTTTAAATACAAAATAAGTGTTGTAAGGGGTTAGGGAGATAAAAGTTGGATGTAAGTATCGCCATTTTTATAGGTACGAGATTGAAACTTATTTTTAGGCTGTTGATTAAATATAAATAAATATGTATAACATTAACAGTTTGTAAAAATTGTATCTTTACTGCGGTAAAATAAAATAGAGGGCATCCCCTTTCGACGACGACAAATTTCTATATAAACTAAAGATTTGTATGGAAATTCGTCATTCATCGTCTATTCCAAGCGGGCGTAGTCGCGTGCACAGCACAGTATATACATGACAGATCACAGCCGGTATGAATGGGCAGAACAGTTGCAGTATATTAATAAAATTCAATTGCACATAGTAATAGTTATAAAATATGTGACACACTCATGCACGCGGCACATAATGCTATTATTAAAGGAGCATGATCTCGATGACATAATTAATAGATCAATTAATTACATGACAAATATCATTCATTTATGAACTACTAGCTACTCGCCCCGGCTTCGCCCGGGTGTACATTATATAAAACTTCCTCTCGAATCACTCTATCTATAAAAAAATCCGTTGAGTAGTTTTAAAGATTTAAGCATACATAGGCACGGACAGACAGCGACAGTGACTTTGTTTTATTTATGTATGTATGTGATAAGGATCATAAGTAAATTAATTCCAATCTATAAAATAGGAATTAAAGTTATGTAATATATAAAAAAATCAAAGTCACAGATTATATTACATAATATGACATAATAATAGACAATTAACAGAAAAGAAATAAAAAGAATTGAAATTCATATTTTTATTTTTGCTATTATTATATTTATTTTAACTTCAATACACAAAACAATGTGTAGGTACATATGGCGGACTTAACACCTTGCGGCGTTATCTACCAGTCAACCATGAGTGGTGCAGAGAAAGATTGTTGGCGGTGGACTAATATTAATAAGAAATGTAAAAAAATTGTATGTATATATATACACAAGGTAAATATATATAAATATATAGCTAAATATTATATATAAATAAATACTCAATGATCTGATAAACAAATTCTAAGTACAGCCACAAATAGAAAGTATTATAATTATACTACTAACACAGCTAGTATATTATAAATGCAAATATTCAAGATTCAAAGTACGTAATTACCAAAGTACGAAGTTTTAAGTTTCAAGAGTCTAGTTTTAAAAATGACGAGACTTCCATACAACCCTTCATCTCCCTTTTCAACCCCTTACAACCCTTTATTCGCTTTAAAAAGTAGCCTATATCCTGTCTCAGAGTCTAGACTATCTGTGTACCAAATTTAATTTATTTTCTTTCAGTAGTTTTTACGTGAAAGAGTAACAGACATCAATACATACAAACTTTCGCGTTTATAATATTACTAGCTGTATCCACGGTTTCACCCATGATAAATTTCAATAAAAATTATAGCCTATGTGTTATTCTGATGCATAAGCCGCATTATTGTAAAATTTCATCAAAATCCGTTCAGTAGTTTTTGCGTGAAAGAGTAACAAATATCCAGACTTACAAACTTTCGCGTTTATACCTAACATTACTATGTATCCACGGTTTCACTCGCGTTAAATTTCAATATAAAATATAGCCTATGTGTTTAATTAAAATTCGTTCGGCATGCATGAAGGAGTAACAAATATCCATCCATACTCCCAAACATTCGCGTTTATATAAGATTACGATGTCATATGGAACAACAAACAAACAATACATATACTTTTCAACGTTGTATGCGCCCTTGGTCAAAGTTTAAGATTTCTGTTCAATTTTTATTCCTGGTCACCTCTCCTGTTACGAAGAGTATGGCGTCATATGCCGACTGCCGGCTGCCGGTAGATACCCGACTATCTCGTTTGCCGCTCGCTGGCAAATGTCAAAGTGTCAGATTGACGGTTCAGTACACGAAAATAGATGTATCTACTAGTTAATAAAGCCATTTGGTTTTGTTTTCGGACATAGTATTTGTGAGTTTTTTTGTAGATCCTTACTAATATTATAAATGTGAAAGTAGGGATGTTTGTTACGCTTTCACGCAAAAACTACTGAACCGATCATCATGAAATTTTGTACACATGTTGTTGGAGGTATTAGAATGAACTTAGGAGTAAATTGACTATATGAACACTTCGCTACTTCAGCGCCATCTAGCAACAAGTAATGAAGTTATGGAAGATTGTAATGAGTGAATACTGTGATTGATACAGTCTACAATCCAAATACTTTAAAATAATGGAGTAACTTGAAAGTCATTGCAGGTTATAAAGTGGTGGCATGGTGGGTTAGGTCAATGTGCTCCCTCTAATATGGTTGATGTGGTGGCAAGGGCATTGTTAATAATGTGGATTAATAACCCCATTGCATGTAATGCCCATAGCAATGTACCATGTCAGGTTGATCTCCACGCGGTTCCCCCTTCAAAACATTATGATAAATTCCTGGTGAATTTGCTACGATGGGCTACCTGACCTCATACTCATCTTATTATCCTCCAATGGTGCCCGCCAGCGTATACCGTTAATCACAAGGAAATGCACCATTTCATAATCAACAGCCTAAAAAATAAGTTTCAAGCTTTAAAAATTACGATATTTCCATACTTCATCTCCCCTTTCAACAACAGGTTCTTCCCCTTGTTAGGGGAAACGGTAGCCTACGTCCATTCTTAGGGTCTAGACTATCTGCGCACCAAATTTAATTTAAATAGGTTCAGTACTTTTGGCGTGAAAGTGAGACAGACAGTCAGAGTTACTTTCACATTTATAATATTAGTAAGGATTTAAACATCTATCTTCACATCAAATTTCATGAAAATCCGTTCAGCCGTTACAGATGACTAGCTGTCATCTGTAACGGCTGAATATTTGCTGTATATGATCTTTGCTTGGTAACGTCAAACGTATATAGCTCGTTACTATGACTAAAACAGGTGGTGCAACAGACAGTTTGCCAGTTACATAATTAAAAAAAAAACAAATCTAATAAGACGTTATAGATTACATTATATCCAACATTTCTGGCAAGAATATTTTAAATTTTTGCGGCTTGAAAAGCTCACCATGTCAATATAGGATGTAAATAAATATTACATTGATTTCGAATTAATCCACTAACATATGTGGAAATGTTAATCTAAGAATGGATTAATACGTCGGACTTCGGATTCTGGCAGTGGTCTATTTTGTCTTTCTGTTATTATATATATACTAGTGGTCGCCGAATGGTCAAAATTCAGTCCTAATTAATTTAAATATATACTAGTGGTCGCCTAATGGTCGGAATTCGGTCATAACTGTACTCGATATAATTTAAATTTAAAATATAAGTTTGAACATTCTCTAATCTCTAATAGAATAATCAGAGGCATTCGAGTGCTAACTATTAGTGAAAATAGAATTTGAATTAAACTTAACGTAATTGTGGTGAAGCTTAGCTATATAAAGCCGTTTGTAATATTCACTATTCTCCGGTAGTAGCAGTACTCTTTTTATACGCGAAAATATAGGTGACAGTTGACCTTATTGAAATTGGTGACCGGTACCTACGAATACGAATACATAAAAAAAAAATATACTGAGATATTTCTGGCACCTCGCACGTAATGCCATTACTTATAATAATATTAAATATCGAACACTATTATTTAAAAATAGAATAATGTTCAATCATATTCATATATCGACCGTTCACCCGTGCTATTATTTATAAATATAATAACATAAGGACTTACCTCATCACAAGCATGACACCTCGGTTTCAGTCGTTCCGCATAATGCCTCACGCAGTACAAACTACCATCTAGAGCACAGTACGCAAGCTCTACCAGGAGTTCACCGCATTCCGAGCATGAGAAGCAAGCAGGATGATATGAAGCCTGAAAGAAAAGTCCAGCTTTAAATTTTGAGATATAGTGCCATCTAGTAGCGAGTAGCATAATTATAACAAAATTGAATATGTAATTGTAAGATAGATGGCGTAATAATTTCTTATTAATTACCTCTTCACTAATTCTCGGCGCTTGAATTGCAATACTTCCACTGCGAATAGGCTTATCACATCCCAAACAATCTATCGGGCTACTATGATGTTGATATGCAACACCTAAAAAAAAAGATAATATAAAACAAAAAGTACAGTAATGAAGTAAATCTATTCGACGATAGATGGCGCTGCTTACCAATATCTAAAGCAATTTCATTACGAGCTGAAACGAAGTCTTCAAATTGTTTTCTATGACCATCGTCAACATGCCGACAATGTGCTAGAGAGAGATCTTGTTTCGGTAACTGAGAGGCTAGTGATCTAGTTCTCCATGAGTGCCATGCCGCTGCACCGGTGGCGCCACCTACACTGGTTGGTGCCCGCTCAGCTAAAGATGCCCAATATAGTTCGGTCTGTAAAAAATAAATTACTAAATTATTTCTTACACACTAGATAATTAAATTAGTACTGTATTATATTATATATAGTTTTCTTTATATTAAACATAACAAATCATCGTCCAGTTGTAGAACACTTATTATATAAGAAGCTGAGGAATAAACCTGGTATTGCCGTTACGGTTTCTTTTCTTTAATTCTTTAATCTATACAAATATATAAAATTATAGACTCTGTTTCTAAAATCAAAGTAGTAGTTTTTCTGTAATGCACATGAAAGGATGCATATAAAAAAATAAATTAAATACTTTATCTGTCTGATTGTCTCACAGTCTGATAGTTTTTACTAATCTCTGAAACTGATTTTGACAGGATTTTAAGATGCAAATTTTATAAGGAATAACTTATGCAACATTTACTATAGACAACATTTACTATAGACAACATTTTATTTATTTTAACAAAAAAAAAGGTCCAAGCAAATGAAGTCGCAGTAAGTCAGAAATTGGACTTACATACAAATTTTTGGTGACAGCTAGAGGTCACTTTTGCTGCCTAAATCAGGATAGGAAACCCATATGCCAACAACGGCCATGACTATTTTGCCAAGGTAGTCATGGCCGTTGTTGGCATAGTGTCATAGGCATAGGCATAGGCATACTGTCTGCAAGATACTGCTTTAAGCGTTTAGTATATTTATAATGCGAGCACATCAACGACAAAATCGGAATTGAAGATAGTCGCCGTGGCCGAAATTGGCCTGGATTACATCATCATCATCATCATCATATTTATAATGCAGAATAAAGAATTATATTATTGAAAACTTCTATTCATCAGACATAATAGGATTTTGGGGTCACGAAAAAGTTGCGTGTAGGAACAATATTTTTCGTTTAGTTCGAGTGAAAAGCAGGTGGCGGCAGAGAGAGGACAACGGCAGCCGAACGGCGCGCGGAGAGCAGTGTCCTTTGAAGTGTCCCTTCTACATTCCTTTTTGTTTTATTATATTACTAGCTTCTCGCCACGGCTTCGCACGGGTGTACATGTATTATACATATAAACCTTCCTCTTGAATCACTCTATCTATTAAAAAAACCCGCTTCAAAATCAGTTGCGTAGTTTTAAAGATTTAAGCATACATAAGGACGGACAGACAGCGACAGCGACTTTGTTTTATACTATGTAATAATTACCACAATCTCATCTAATTCAGCCGCCAAAATAAAAACGCCCAATAATGACAGCAAACTATATATTGTACAAATATTGAATACTTACTTGTTTGGCGGTTAGTCCTGGCGGACTGTCGTACCCATGGTGGTTGGGCCGGGTATCCCTGAGGCCCAGCCGTTGTCGGACGGAGCCCAACTCCTCGTGGTACACCGAATGGGTGAGACGGTCGCAGCCGCATGACTTGCAACTCTTTCTGTAAACAAAGAAAATGAATACGTTAATGTATGTTATAATAAGAAAAATTCTAAATAATTTGGTACACTTAAATTAATAACCTATTGCGTACTGCTATATACAGGAAAAAAGGTTTTTACAGAACGGAACAAAAATAATGTAATTAAAAAAAACGAATTGTTAGAAATTCATCTTATTTTATTTAGTAATAATAGTTGTTTATTTTTAATTCATTTTATTCTATAATTTTTTTTTTATCTGACATACCTAATACTATTGTTTCATTCAATGCAGAACTTGTTTTACGTAAATATTCAATAACAATAGGTCGCACAAAATAATAATTTAACCTTAATGAGAGGATTACTTTTTAATGTAGATTGGAACGGCAAACAAGCTGACTCTCTACAATGGCTACCATGTAAGATAAGGCATACCAACTAAGATGTCATGCCTCTTCTCTTGTAATTTCTCTACCTAACTTCACCCTACAACCGAAGCACAGCTTATGAAGTTAATTGTTTTGCGCACATGTATGAAATTACTTCATAAATAAATAAAATAATCCTGGACAATTAAGACAGCGCCATCTAGTCCCACGGTAAGCAAAGCTTGTTTTATGGGTAACTAGACAACTTATATAAATAATTAGTAGATATATATTTTTTTGTAAATACATACGTAATATACATAGTATACACTCAGATTAATACAAACAATCAAATCTCACTCTTCAATCACTCATATATACAAATATTTGCCCCGTGCGAGGAATCGAACCCGCGACCATTGGAAGTAAAGCCGTGTGCGAAACAGCTAGACCACCGAGGTGGTCATTGGAATGTGCACGCATTTACTGCGATTACCTTTTCGTCTGTTCCCGATATAGTGACACTGTGATACTGTTTAGATATAAATAGGTTCGATTTTGGAGACTACATTTTGAGCGCTCAAAGTATTCTAGGGCATCAACCCAACCTTGACATTTAAGCTAATAAGCCATTCCAGGCCCGACGACGTAAATAGCGTACTTGCACATTCATAACGCATGCATGGATGCATAAATGAGATCTAAAAATATCGCTAACAAGTCGCTCAAGAGCATGCGACAACTTGTGTCCATATTAAGACATCTTGTTTCGAACAATCCGGCGAATTATCGTTTCCCTTTATTATAGACTAGCTACTCGCTCCAGCTTCGCACGAGTGTATATGTATCTATACAATTTAATAAAATTGGAGTGTCTGTTTCTAATATTGAAATAACCATTTTTTACTACATGCATATGAATATTTTGGTGTATGTTACTATTTAAGTAACATACACCAAAATAACATTTTTTTACTATTTTTGTCTGTCTGCTCCGGCTAATCTCTGAAACGACGGGAATTTTATTGGCAGGTAGCTGGTGTAATAATGAGTAACTTAGGCTTTATTTTCGAAAACATATTTTATTTAAAAAAAAATTAATTCATAGACCGAAAGCACTGAACTGCCAGTACCTTTGACTTATCAAGTGTTTCTAATAGACCTACATGAATAAAGATATTTTATCAAAAATTATATTGATATTTTTGATTATAGTCTTCCGAAAATCACAGAAGCCGTTCAAAAGTATCTAGAATTTTTATAATGTTATATACATATTATATTATGTAATAAAATATGTTATGTTGTAAATTAATATATATGTATACTGTAATGGTGTTGTAATATTGAAATGAATAAATAAATAAAATAAATAAAAAAAATTAATTTGATGAATTGAGATAAGATGGCATCCATTGTAGCGGTCTAGAAGTTTACCACACTGCTAGATCTGATGCTACTATACTACAGATTTTGCTTGGTAAATACATTTTTATTCATAGTTTGAAAGTTTGCATTGATCTGAATATTATCTTAGCATATCTTGTGTGTATTAAAAAAAAATGTATTTCTATCAGTTGCTTAGTACCCTTCACAAGGTCTGCTTAGCTTGGGCCTAGATGGCGCTGTGTGATTTATCCAGAATTATGATTATTATTGTCACAGATAATCGGCTGGCTTGTATGTAAGTTTAATATAATAATTCTAAAATAATTTTAAAGATTTATTAAATCTCCAATCTTCCATACATCTTAATGCATTATTTATTTGAAGAGCACTTATGTTGTTAACTGAATCGGTCGCGTCAATCATATGAGAGTACAATTGGATGCTATTGTGCCGTAGTTAGCATATCAATATTTGATGCTCTTAATATTGGCCGATTGTTGTATAGATTCTGACTGAGATGATGCTTCGGTCTACTGGTCTGGTCTGGATAATTCCAAAATAATAATAATAATCCTGGACGATTAACACAGCGCCATCTATTTCCAAGGGAAATAAAATAATGTATTATGAGCACCAGACAACTAATATAATAATTATGAAATGTCCGTTATTATTATTATAATAAAAGTACAAAAAAATCTTTGAGTTTATGTTATTTATTTATAAATTAATTGTTCGAAAATGATTGGATTCATATCAGTTATAAATAAAATATAAGGAAAATGTACATCACTACACAGTATAAAACAAAGTCGCGGTCGCTGTCTACCAATCCTTATGTACATATATATAAATCTTTAACTACGCAACGGATTTTATAGCGGTTTTTTTCAATAGATAGAGTGATTCTAGGGGAAGGTTTATATATATAATACATGTATACCCGGGCGAAGCCGGGGCGAGTAGTTAATATTATAATACAAGTTTAGTATTATATTAGCAAATTAGGAAAAATAAATCTTTATTTCATTTATATACCTAATAGTACAACAAAGTAAAGCTATTCTTATTTTATGGACAAACAAATAATTGATCAAATATATTAAACAGATGCATCACAAGAAGAACAAGAGACAGTAAATATATAAACATGTAAATATTAAATATATTAGAAGATTGGGAGATATTTTGAATAGAATGAATGAGTGAAAGAATGAGTCGAATTTAAATTATATCTATATACACACGTTACAATAAAGTAGTTGCTTATTAGGTTGTCTAGGTTTATGGACACAAAATATCATTAAAATAAAAATACGTATCAGCTAGTATGAAAAATACTTACATACTAAAAAAGTTTTTTTAGAAAAAGATCCAAATACATTTTAATCCAATTTTAGTAAGTGAACGGACAATTTGTGTTCTCTCTTACTAGGATAAAAACCATAAAATGCAGATGATTAAGATGAGTATGAGGTCAGGTCTGTTAGCCCATCGTGACAAATTCACCAAGAATTTATCACTATGGTTTCCAGGGAGAACCGCGTGGAGGTCAACCTGACATGGTACATTGCTAGCAATAAGATCAGTCCACATTACTAACAATCTCATTTCTTTTTTATATATTATGTTTATATTTTCAAAAAATATATATCTAAGTATTTATATCAGTTGTCTAGTATTCATAAAACAAGCTCTGCTTCGCTTACGACTAGGTGGCGCTGTGTAAATTAACCAGGATTATTATTTTCTTATTATAAACTGCATTAAAATCTTGCTCAGCTGTTTAGTTAACGTAATGTAACGTTTGAAATACATCGTACAGACAAGATACGCTTCCGCATTTACACATGCTAGTGTCAGAGGTCAAGTCTAAAAGTTTCAAGGGGAAAGAATCAATTTGCCAGACAGCCAACTCCTTAAGTCGACGCCGTGATATCATCCAATAATGGTAAGTGCACCGCGCCTGTACCCCGACCTTCGCCAACCAACGAGTTATATTTAGTGACAACACTTACGATTTGTTTCTCACCAAAATATAAATTCTGAAGTATCCGTCTGTCCGTCCCTATGTATGCTTTAATATTTAAAACTACGCAACGGATTTTGAAACGGTTTTTTTTAATAGATAGAGTAATTGTAGAGGAAGGTTTATATATATAATACATGTATACACACGGGCGAAGCCGGGGCGAGTAGCTATATTATTGAAAAGTTTCATTAAAATCTATTCAGTGCAGAGAAAGGGAATTGTTAGTAATGTGGTCTGACGATCTTATTGCTAGCAATGTATGGTACATCAGCTCAGGTTGACCGCCACGCGGGTTCCCCTGGAAACTATTGTGATAAATTCTTGGTGAATTTGTCACGATGGGCTAACTGACCTGACCTTACCTTCAATTTATCATCTTCCACTGGTGCCCCGCCAGCGTAAACCATTAGCGCAGGCGGGTGCACCATTTCATTATCATACATAAAAACATATATTCAGTATATTTTGGGTGAAAGAGTAAAAAGTTATATTTTGTGACAACACTTACTCCTCTAATGTATTCATTCTTTAGATTTCATTTCATCAAATTTTGATAAAAAAAAATTCTTTATTTTGTCAATTACTGTCACACCACACATTCATCTCAACAGTCACATTTCAAGTTCAGTTCATTCGTTTTATTTACAATACGTTATATTCATATAATTAGTTTTATTCATAAGTACATATGGTATTACCGTATGACTGTTTCTACCAAGCAAGCATAGGTTCTGTAGAGAACAAATTTAAAGGCACTCTATAGTACCTTATTCCTATGAACATGTTCCTATGAACATCTTGTGGTTTTTAAACGGTAAGAGTCTGACAGTACCCGTTTGCATATAAATGAGGGAAGTAATCGGGTCCATGAGGATTTTTCCTAAATATAAAGAGAAAAATTATATATTTTAAGTTTGCATATATGTATTATTCTATGGGGTTGACATGTCTGAAAAAAAAACCCCAAAATAAATCTAGATTAAAAAAAAAAGTTTGCTATTCTAGTTACATTAAAAACTATTGTAAAACATATTGTAATAAATATTAATAGTTATACGTGTGTAAGTTAATAGTAAGCTTCCATTCCCACGGGATCTATAGCAGTGGTGCGCAACCTGTGGGTTACGACCGAGGGGAGTGGGGAGGGGAGAGGGGAGAGGGGTCGCGAGAAAAAATTTCCGGGTCGACAAATTTAAATAACTTAAACAATGGTTTTATTATATTTTTT